GGACCACTGGGGATGTATACTGAGGAACTTGAGGAGCACACGTGGGGAGTGCCGCATGTGCTGGGTGACCCTGGCAGTGTCCATGAATGACGGGTTGTCACTCGGCCCATCCATCACTCGGGCCCATGCATCTTCTCTGAGGCCACACTTCCTGGGGAGACCTTAGCTGGCACGCAGGCACCACAAGTCAGAGGCTAGGAAGATAGGCATCAATTTTTTGGTGCCAGAAAGAAGTAGCCCTCTGGAAATGAATAAGATGGTAGAAGTTGTGATAAAGAGTAGGATCTTAGCAAACATCCATCAAGCAGAGGCATGCAAAAATTCTGGTGTAAGGATAACTTCCTTGTGAGCTTGATAAGTATGGCCCTGTGGGAACACAGGGAATATTGTCTAAGGCAAGAAGACATTTTAAAAAATGCCACAGGAAGCTGGGTGTGGTGGTGCACGCCTGTAATCCCAGCACTCAGGAGGCTGAGGCAGGAGGATCGTTGCGAGTTTGAGGCCAGCCTGGGCTACAAAGTGAACTCAAGGCCAGCATGAACTGCATAGAGAGACCCTGTCTCAAAAAAAAAAAAAAAAAAAAAAAAAAGCCATAGGCTTTAGAGTCAGACAGGCCTGCGTTCAAACCCCAGCTCTGCTAGTCTGTCATGGTGTATAATCTTAGGCATGTTGCTTAACATGTTTCTATATTTCTAAAATGGGAATAACACCCACCAGTCTTTGAATGTGAAAGAGTTAGTGATAATAGTAACAGGCAATAGATACTAAGTGCTTCCCTGTGGGCCAGGCTCTGCCCTAAGCACTTCACACTCGCTAAGTCCTTCCAACGGCCTCTGAGGGGGCACACCATCTCCCTTTGGGCGGCTGGTGGGGTAGGCCTCGGCTCCAGCAGGTTTCCTATGCATGGCTCAGACCCCACTGACTCAGCTGCTCACCAGGCCAGCCTTATGCAGTCGGTGCCCAGACACACTCCCCCGACTTCCTGTGGCACAGACTGCTCCGAGAAGGCCGGGTCACCCATGATGCCAAATGCTCACTTCCACCCGGGGTGGGCTCCGGGCTCTGGCTGCCTCGGCCTGGGCTGAGTGCCCGGAACAGGCAGCCCTGGCTGGATGGGTTTCCCTGGCTCTGGCCATGGGGACAGGAGGCGGCAGCAACCCAGCTGGGCCCTGGCCGTAATGAGGCCTCATTAGTGGGATCCAGCTGCTCCAGCCCCACTTAGAGGTGGACCCCCCAGTTCCAGCCACTGACTTTTCTTAATAAGAGTGGGCAAGCTTCCAGAAAGGCCAGGAGTCTAGGGGCTTTGTTGTCCCCTGTGGCTCAGGAGGGAAGGTCCTTCTGAGCTAGAACTGAGGAGTGCTGGGGACAGGGGAGGGCTGAGGGAAGTTGGGTATGGGATGGAGGCTGCAGGGCCGAGCAGGTGGGCCAGCAGGAAGGTAGGATCCTAGGGCCAGAGAAGAAGCCTGAGGGAGGTGGGCCTTTTCCTCTGGATCTCAATACTCCACTTCATGGGGGAAGTGCATCTGCACATCTAGAACCCACACAAGGCGACTGCCTGGGCTGTCCTGACCAGGAGAGCACATCCTTACTTTGGCATTATATAAGAAAGGTGTGTCCACTGAATGCCAGTCCCTGCACAAGGACCATATCTAGGTGTCAAACCGTGTGCTGGGACCTAATGAGCAAGGTGCTCACTACGTGCCAAGCGCGACGATGGAAGAACATACACCATGTGCCAAGCAGGTGCTAGGAAAGCGCTCACTGTGTGCTAGGTCTGTGATAGGAGAGTGCACACTGTGTGCCAAGTCCAGTGCTGAGAGAGAGCTCTCACTGCGTGTCAGCCCCATGCCAAATGAACCCTTGTGGTGTGTCAGGTCCCACACTAGGTCAGTGCCCTGTGTATTCCAAATTCTGTGCCAGGAAAGGACCCAAGGCTGGCACCATGCTGGATGAATGCCCACTGGGTGGCAGGCTCTATACTGAAAGAGTGCCCAATGCATGCCAAGTCTGTACCAGCTGAGCATTTGCCACTTGCTGAGACTTGTACTGAGTGCCCAGAGCCAACAGGTCCTTTACCAAGGGAGTGCCCAATTTGTGCTGAGCCCTGTGGTTGGTGACACCCCAATGTGTGCCAAGCCAGTACTAGTTGAGGACTTGCTACATGCCAAGGCTGAACTAAGTGAGCGCCCACCGTGTGCCAGGCCCTGAGACAAAAGGTATCCAAACCCTCAAGTCAAAGCATAAAAGAACAGGGCAGGGCAGGGCAGGCCCAGGTGCCTGCAGATGCTGCTGGGATTTCGATGCTTGGGCACCACAGGGCCTTGGTGCCAGAGTGACTCTGCTCTTATTCATCACAAGGCAGAGGCAACCAATACCTTCAAAGGCAAGAGAAGAGACCTCAGAGACTCACTGTGAGGAAGGACTAAGAAGGCCAGGCTGGGACCTTGGTGTGAGGTGACGGGGTTAAGGCTGAGCTGTAGGAGCGCTCATGCCTTCCGCCCTGGGCTGCCCTCCTCTAGCTCCTGTCCTTTGAGACTGAGGCAGTGCCATTCCACACGTGTTCAGAGGCCCTAGGTCTCCACGGAAGGACCACCCCACCCTCCCCTGGTGCCCCGGAGCATCCCAGCTGCTCCCAGGCTTGGAGGTACCCTGGCCAGCTGGGTTCTTGCATGGCCTTGTCCTAGGAGCTGCTGAGGCGTGAGGGAGGCAGCTGAGCTGGCCTGGCAGCAACCATCTGGGCTGAGGGTGGGGGGAGGGACACGTGCAGCAAGCATGTGGGCTTGGGCACGTGCTGGGAAGTGGCTTGCTCCTCCGCAGGCACCTATGAGACAGCCCAGCGGAAGCTCCAAGGACAACATGGAGCGTCTGTTGACATCGAAAAGACCTGAGTGGCACATGCCCTCACACCCAAACCTGGGGTAAAGGGCCACAGAAGTGAGGACCCCATGGTACAGGGCAGCTCCCACCTCCTACGTATCAGGGCAAAAGCAGAACCATGGAAGCCACAGAAAACCGGGAAGGGCCAGGTCACCAGTTCACATGCATAGCCCTCTTCCTCCGCTCTTCTGACCTACCATGGTATCCAAAGAAGCATATCAGAGAGGAACTTCCTTGGCCCCTTGCCCTTCGGAAGACACAAAAATCCTTAAGTGCTGACTTAGCTCCTGGGTTACTGAGCAGAGATGGGGCTTGGCAGGGGCTTCCTGCCTGCTGCCCCTCAGAGGCTGTATCCTAGAGACACGCTCTGAATGGAGGCGGCTGCAGCTCCGCACTGAGACCCAAGAATAGAGTAGCCCAAGGTCATCAGCAGAACTGAAAAAGAGGCAAGAATAGAATCTCGAGCAACCACTGGGGGTGCCCATGGGACAGATGCTTTGAGCCTCAAATGCAGCAGTGGGCAGAAGCCAAAGGGCAGAGAGCACAGAGGAAAGCGAGCCCCAGCTATCTTTAGGCACTCTCTGATGCTGGGAATGGGAGTCCCAAGACAGTGCTGCTTTCCCTAGACAGGCCAGCCGGCCAGGCGGGCCAGCACAGCTCCAAGCCCGGACGCTCGGCTGCTGCGGGGATTGTGGGGCCTTGTGACTCACGCTCACCAAGTGCCCACGTGGGTCTCCATCTCTCCGTCCGCCTGCCCAGCCCTTCCAGGGTCCCTACACAGAAGAGCAGCCACAAGGAGCTCAAAGGGGCTGTTGGGTTTCACAGGGCTCAGGATCTCCATGGTAGGAAAGGGCAGAGCCACACCCCACTTCCTTTTCAGACCCATGGCAATTTTAAGACCTTTCAGGGAGAGTTGGGCCCTGTTTGAGTGCTAACACAGGGTCTGCTGCAGCCATTGTTCAGGTCATGAGATCTCCATCTGCACCCATTTCTGAACTCCCAGATTTCAGGGTGGCCCAAGAACACTTTTGGAAGCTTGGTTTATCCAGACCTGTTCCCACTAGGAGGCGCCACTCCCCAACAAGCCTGATGGACTGGGTCAGGGGCCAGAGGGCAGAGGGTCAGAAAAGGCCTGCGTGGAGGTCCTAAACCCAAAAGAGAACCACCCAGTGCCTTTCCCCTAAACCACTCCACTGGCTCAGGTATGTGAAATCCCAGAAATCTTTGGTGGGAGATAGGGTGAGCTTAGGGAGGGCTTAGCAGAGGCCCGAGCCAATCAGCTCCTAATTGAAGGAGGAAAAATAGAAGGCATTGATGGGGGAGGGCTGATGAGGGAGGGGTTGTTCTCAGGCCCCGGCTTCTTCCCCTGGTAGCTGCCCAGGCTGGATTGTCCCCAAGGCAAGATCTCAAAAGAAAAAAAGATAACCACAGCCCTTAGGTAGGATCTCCTGGTTCCCACGGGATTAACCTGCTCCATCCATTAATAAGTTTTGCTCCCTCAAAAACCTTACCCAGACTCTTGTTTCTCAAGGGGCCTCACCACCACCTTTGCTGTGCTCTGAAGCAGGGATAAAGGAAGGCCAGGCTGGGCAAGGGGAGGGAGGAGATTTTCTTGGAGGCCTCGGGAGGGGATTCAAACAAAATGTTGTGTTGCCCTTTGGAGCAAGAAGGAATCAGACAAGTAGAGAAAAACAAGACAAGGTCTAAAAACTCTTTGACCAGCACAAAATGAACGTGCCGGCTGGTGCAGCACCCAGTGGGCATGGGGGGACCAAGCTGTGGTCACAGCACAACTCTGTGGGTCCTAGTCTCCTCCCAGCAGGACAGGCTGTGTCCTCTCCAGGGGACTTCTTGTGACCTCCTGCCCATTGGCACGCTTTCACCAGGTCTGTGAGAGACCCTTCCTAGATGTGGGTTTGCACTTGGCACTGTCTAAGCAGCTGGGTAAGGGGCTGCCTGCCTGAGCCTGGTGTAGGCCTGGCCTTTGGGAGCCCCGGGAGTGCTGACAACTGTCCCCAGGGAGCCTTCTAGGCCCTCTGGTCAGAGTAAGTTGTTAGGGGGAGGTCCCAGGGCGCAGTGTGTACGACACCCCTTCCTCCCTGCAGTCTGGCCCCTGTACTCACCAACATCCCTTTGGCACCTTTTCCTACCATGGCAGCAGTAGGGTGGGGGCTCTGGAGTCCCAGAACAGACAGGCTCTGCTTCCAGCACCTTTCAGACCACAGACCTCAAGAGCTGTGGAGAGAACAGAGAGTGAGTGAGGTGTGGCCTTGTCCTGGGCAGCCCTGTACCACAAACTGCAGGCTTTCATGTCCTTCCTGGCCCACTGGCCCCACCTGACCATTTGGTATCCTGCTCCCTCAGCATGACCCTTAGGTGCAACCCCTTCCTAGCTCTCTTCCAACACTTCCTCTAGAGCTCTCATTCTCCAGGCTTCCTGCCCCAATGGGCAAGGGTCTATTTTTGACTCTACAGATGCCCAATCCTGTAGAAGATAAAAAATGAACACAGAACTGGGATGGGGTCCAAGTCCTTCCTTGTCTGTGTGAATGGCTGCAACCTTTCCCCAGGGGAAATGGGCTTGGATCAGCTCACTCCCCAACCTCAGCCTAGCCAGGCAGCCCAGGCCACCTTGTACCACTCTGCCTTGACTCAGGGCTTGTTGCTGTGTCCCTCATTGGTCCCAAGCAGCCGGACACACCAGGTATAGTCACACCTCCTTGCTTTCTTTGTGGCTGCCCCTGCTTTTACAATACTTTTCCTCAGGTGTACAAGGTGAAATTCAGCAAGTTCTTTAGCACTGAGCTGAAATGTCACTCCTCTTTGTAGGTAGCCCTTCCACACTTACTCTCCCCACCAGAATGAACTGCTTCCTCCTTTCGGGTTCACAGCAGGCTTCACGAGTGCCCTTATCATCTCATATTACACTTGTTTGCTCTTAAGGCCATCAACCATCAGGAGCTCTCTGAAGGCTTACAGCTGGGCTTCCTCTACCCCTCTGTACCGAGCACCTAGCCCAGTGTTGCCCAGCAAGCAGAGTTGGCTGAGTTGAAATGCAGAGGAATAGCAGGAGCCTCGGTCTGGTTCAGGATGGCATCTTGTAGGACAAATCTCAGGGCCATGTGGGGCAGGTGAGCTGGAGAGGGGTAGACCCATCCTGCGTTGTAGGTTTCATGTTAGATGTGGATGGAAGGGGGTTAGTCTCTGATAGGCCTCAGGAGGGGCCTCAACCTTCTGAGAGACTTAAAAGACTCTCAAAGGAGGAAAATCTTGCGGCAGATGGATGAGGAAGTTCAACATCCACAGGGCCTGATCCTGGAGAGGAGGTAGCTCTGCCTCTGAGGCCTCGCCTTCCTACCCAGAGGCAGACTCCACTCTAAAGGCTACTCCAAATCACCCTGCCCCACCCAGAGCCTGCCACCTGCCCCACCCACAGCTGGCAAGGGCTACCTCTCACCTACAGGAAGTCACTGGAAGGCTGGGAGAGGTAAGCACTCTTTGCCTACGCAAATGAGCTCTTGACTTCCTTAGGCCCTCGCCCTGGCCACTTGGTCTCCTGCAGGGCCTTCTCCTCAGAACAGGAGTAGGGAGGGGAAGTAGCCTTAACCCTTTCCTTTTGCCAGCAATCCAGGCTGGCCTCTGCTTCTTCGAGTGTCCTAAAGAGGTCCTGCTCATGGCTTTGGTCTTCTGGTGGCAGTTAGAAGAGGGGGCTATGTCTTTCAAAAGAGGATCACAGCCAGGCTTGGTGGTGCGTGCCTGTATTCCCAGCACTTGGGAGGCTGGGGCAGGAGGACTGCTGTGAGTTTGAGGCCAGCTTAGGCTACATAGTGATTTCAAGGCCAGCTTGAACTACATAGTCAGACCCTGTATCAAAAAAACAAAAAAGAGGGAAGGATCACATCCTTGTCCTCTGTGCTTATGCCACCCCCTCCCAGCTATAAACTCCAGATCTCACTTCCTTAAAGCTGCCTCTCTTCAGCCAAGGTGCAATAATGACAATAATGACAGTAACAACAACAGATGGCATTATTAAAGCCACTTCACTGCTAAAAGTTATTGTGCCCTCTGGTCCACTGAGTAAACTGAGGGCACTCTGTCCTGGGACTTTGGCTACAGAGTGTTCTCATCCATGTTATCTGAGTTTCTCCTATAGCTTACAGTTGGAGACAGCAACCCAGGGAGGCCACATGCCTGGCCTGCCAGGGCCTATGTGAGCTTTTTAGATTGGACGTCTCTGACTGGGGGACCCATCTACACCGAGGTAGTCACTAGTGTCTGTTTTGGGCCAGGTCCTGAGCATAGGCAGCAGGTGCAGTTCCTGCCCTCAGATAGTTTATAGACTCTCAAGGACAAGATTGCCTGGTGGCTGGACCAGTAAAATTATGTGTAAAGCCTTGCTATTCCTCCTGCTAAGTGGTCTCATCCATCCATTCAAAAATACCAACTGAAGGCTGGGCCTTTACTCAGTGGTACAGTGCTTGTCTAGAATGCATGAGGCCTTGGCTTCAATCCCCAGCACCACAAAACCACCCCCCTTCCACATCCCCCCACAGTACCAGTGGAATGCCAGGTACCAGCTGAATGTCAGGCACTCTTCTAGGTGTAACAGGTGCATAACACCCAGGCCCTAGAGCTGTTTCTAACCCATATATGGACTGCTATTGACAGGCAGAGCTGGGGGAGTTCAGTCAGTTCGGTGTATGAAGATCTCAGGCCCTGGGACCTGGAAGGCCTGGGCTGGGATTCTGGCTTTCCTACTCTCTAGATATGTGATTCTGAGCATTGTTTAACTTCTTTGAGTCTCAATTTTCTCAATCTAGATGATGGGACTAATAATTCCCTCATAAATTCTGAAGCTTCTGCCTAATTTCCGTCTCTCCTACAAGTCCTCCACACTCTCCTCCTCTCCAATCCATTAATCTTCCCAAAGCCCTAAAGCCCTCATTCTCCTCAATTGTTTTCCACAGCCAACAGGATATGACCTAAATTGCTTAGCAAGCATTGAAGGCCAGCCACAACTAGATTAATTTAGTCCACAAATATTTATTGCAGGTCTGTTCTGGGCCAGACCTGTGCTAGGCACCAAGAACTCAAAGGTCTCAGCACTCCTGCAGCTGATAGGCTGGGGGAAAAAGAATGAAACAGATGATTCAAACTAAATAACTATAGACTGGGATAAAGGGTGAAGGAAGAAGGTCCTTCTATGAGATTCTACAGCAGGGCTGAGAGTCAGGGAAGCCTTCCCGAGGAAGTGATGTTTAAGGGTCAGATGAAGTCAGAGGATGTGGCAAAAGTGAGGAAAGGAGAGGAAAATGCAACAGTATGTAGGAAGGCGCTGAGGCTGGAGCTCAGATAGCCAGGGAGGAAAATGAAAGCAAACACAAGCAGAGCTAGGGCCTCCGGGGGTCTGGAATTTGGTTTTCATCCTGGTGCAATAGTGGTAATGAAGGGTTTTAAGCAGACATCAACTTCGACAGAGGTGATCGCTGGAATGTGCACTTCGAAAGAATCACCCTACATGCAGCACAGAGAAAGGACTGGGAGATGAAAGTAGAAGAAAGGAAGTCAACTAGGACCGAGCAGGCTGGAGTGGAAGGGGCTTGGGTTGGGAAGGCGATGACGGGCAAGGAAAGGTGCACAGATCCGAGAGAAATTTAGAAAAGCACTTGGTGGAACGTGCGATAAACTGGGCTTTGGGGGTGGTGGTGAGGGCAAAGAAGGGGTCACTGGTTCCTGCTGGTGCAATGGGAGGAAGCCGGTGCCAGTACCAGGGAAAAGAACACTGGTGATACTGCAGGTTTGGAGGGGGCAGAGGTTGGACCAGCTGGCTTTGAGTTGCTTGTGAGCATCTTGTGATAGGCGCTGAGAGGGCAGGCACAGGACCCTCCAGGTACAGTCTCATAGGTATCTTTCCTTACTCCTAAATGGTACTGCCTGGTGGCCCAATTTTAAGGGTCTGTCTGGGTGAAGCTCTGTGATCCTCACTGGGGATAGAAGGTAATGAGCTCTTCCCTGCCCTCGGGGACCTTATAGTTTGTAGGAAGATACAGCCGGAAGTAGTCTCCAATCGCTGCCATAGAGGGAGGGGACGGGAGGTGGGAGCAGGGAAGGTTGTGTTCTCTGAGAGCCCTAGCCAGCTACCCCTGTGGGACAGCTCCGCATTCACAGAGGGCTCCTGCTCCATGGCCTTGCTCAGGCAGCATTTCCACCTGTATGCCGCCTACCCATCTTCAAAACCCGTCCCAATGCCATTATCGTCAAGAAGCCTTCCTCAGTCCTCCCAGTGCGGTCAGCCTTCCCACGGTACCCCGAAAGCACAGCAGCCGCGCAGTGATTAGCATGCTGGTCACAGGTACTGTCCGGGCGTGTTTGCTTGTGTCCAAGTCTGGCTGCCCCACTAGCTGGACAGGTCTTCTAGGGCAGAGGTGCGATTCTTCTGTGTCCTCCAGCCGCACCGCCGCAGTCCCAGCGCGGGCCGAGTGAAGGGGGCGTTTTCTCTGCAGTCCTCAGAAACATTGGGCATGCTCAGTGCTCCCCTTTAGGCTCCAGAACCAGTCCCCTCACCCACTACTCTCCAACCTCCTGTTGCCCTCTCACTTTGAGGATCTTTAACCCTTTAGATTCGTCTCTGCTTCCTCGCTCCTCGCCCCACAACCTTTATCTCCAGCGGCTGCAACCTCAGGCTTGTGTCATAGCCCGGCTTTGTAAGGGGGCTGTCAGAGAGCGGGCACGGCTCCTTTAAGAGTGATTGCAGGGGGCGTGGCCTGCGGGGAGCTGGCCGGGAAGGAGGCGCCGTTCTTTTAAGTAGCAGCAGCCGGGCTGCTCAGAGGCCCCGGCCGGCCGACAGGGGTGCGGTCGCTTTCGGGGATGGGCACCGCCCGGGGCACCCCAGTTCCTCGAAGCGGGACGCGTCCGCTTTAATCGCGGTGCAAGGTCGGGGGGCGGGCGTTACATCAGCCACCACCACGTGTGGGCCTCTCCGCGGAGGAGGCCGCCCCGCCCGGCCCCTGCCGTGGAAAAGTACCGGGGTGCCCAGAGCCCGCCCCCAGCCCCGCCCCTGGCC